TCGAGGTGGACGGGCCTTGAAGACCGATGCTGTACGACACTGTCGGCAGCGACTGATGATGGCAATGGCCATCGATGATGACGTCTTGCATCGTCATTCCGTCAGACAGTAGACCGTAGAAATAGTTGTTCTGCATAGTATCCTGAAGCGGGCCGTAATCCGCGAAGTCGGTTGTCGAATAATAGGCGCTGGAACTAGCTACCTTCGGTTCGAAGCCGTCTCCGTTTTGACAGGGGTCCATCGATGGCGGGACGTGGCAAAATACCATCGTACCAGCGACAGGCTAAACAAAAATATTACAAGCAGGGCGAGAAACGTTGCAAAGCAGGAGAGATAGACATGCATCTCTCAGCGACTCCCGTTAGACGTCAACAACAGTTAAATATTACAAAAGCCATCTGCCATACGAAGGACAAGTTCAGCGGTCTAGATTCTAAGGCGCAACAATGTCAGGTTATCTGTAAAATCGAATCAGCTGGTCAGTGGTCTGCTCCTGGACAGTCTTCACTCTGGTTTTGCCAAGAGATTGTGTCTTAGGAGTTTTTCATGCAGCATCGTCATCTCATGATCAAATCGTCGCAATTCTGATCTCCTGACGTATAGAAGAAGCGACTCAAAACAAGGGCATATCGAACTGTAGATTTTCATGCGTTGACGAGTTTCGTCACAACCGCCGGCTATCTTTCAAATAAACGTCATTTCTGAAACTTGTACCCATGAATTGCATTCTCTCAGTCAATATCCACCATTCATTGCCATAGGTGAGAGTAGGTGTGTGCACAGACTTGAAGTCATGTATGCTCACATTGCGACAAAGCTCACTGCTTATCACCACAGACTGGTTTAGCTATCGGGTGTCTGTTTCGGCGTCGTACCTGAAATCAATCGTGAACCCTAACCCGACATTCTTGCACTTCTTTGCCAGCTCCAGCTCCATGCGTGGAATTACCTGCAGAGCGGAGTACGGATTCTGATACCAAATCATATATCACCAAATTAGTCATACTTAATTTCATCAATAATTGCTGTCTTAACAGTTGGTTACCAAAGTGCTACCATATTTGCCTAAATGCCTGCACTCAAAGCGCATGAGCGATTACCATCCCAGAGGCGAGACAATTCGCGTAGAGCTGAATTTCGTTTCAACTCATATGACTGACGTAATTGAAACACGCGTTAAAGTTCTGTCACAAGAAGTCAATCGGTCGAGTCATAGGAGAACCACCCAAAGGAGAAAACGCCGCAAATCACCAGAAAATGAATGAACTGCAAAGGGTAAACTTTCCGGCTGCGCAAAGCTGTCAGAACGGTGTAAAAAACAAGGTTCTGCGCAGTTTTCAGTGACTAGCAATTAACAACGTCTCATCTACTAACATCCAGCAGCCAACGGTCAAGAGACGACACGACGAATTGGTCTTCATCTGAAACTTTCGTTCGTTCGTCGACGATCCATCCCACCGGCCAGGGATTCGAGGCAAATGCCCACGGATGGCCAGCGCAGCTTACCCGGTCGCTTCTTTTACAAAGAAGGACAACGGATGCGACGGCGCGATGGACGTTGACCATGAAAGCCACGACGACTTCGACGACGACGATGACGATTTCATGACAGTAATCAGATCAAGCATGACCAAGTTACGCAAGGTGCTTCCTGGCACCATTTTCGTGAACCAGTTCAACGGCCTTTGACCGGACGGTCGGTTGAACCCGTTCTTAAAAGCCGCTGGGTTCAGTACACTGTCGTCGGGTCATCGCCGTCGTCTCGTCGTGACGGGCATCGATCGCAATTTTTAGCACCGTCCACAGACCGGTACACTTTCTTACAGCTTTGTTATGGCTACGCGACAAACGACACAACAACACAAACTCGATCATCGTCATACCTGTTGATCCTTCGACGCGTACCGCATGTTTTCAGACGAGATCTGGTAGGCGGTGGAAGACATCGAATCTAAGCTCTGCATTTTCCGGATCAGCGCCGGCTATCAGGCAGCAGCACCTGTACACAACGAAATGTCAGAAACACGAAATCGTTCGAGCAAATGACGACGAATCGCGCTGCCACCAATTCGTACATCATATTAAACATTTTGAAATCAATGCCGTCCTTTACCTATTATTACTATCGATTAGTCGCTGCTGAGCTGACTTCACTGTGCAGGTATTTGTTTACAATTGTCGTTATAGCTGTACATGACGACAACAACAACAGTGCGGAATGTAACGAGACGTCCTGTTAGTCGTCGCTGCTGCAATGAAGCGAAGCAGCAAGTGACTGTAAAGGCAGCACTCTACAAACCTGTTACTGAAGTTGTGTGATTGCATAAGCAAAATAATAAGGCCGAGGTCAAAGTGGAAGGTGAAACCTGGCACATGAGCAGATCACGGCCGTAAACATCAATTGAACGAAATTCCCATGTTGTACCACCACGCAAGAACCAGTCATTTGCGGATGATAGGCAAGTCAGGGTGTCAGCTACGGTGACTATTGATATACTATATGACCAGTGTTACTACATTAAATAGGTTCCGTTCATTATCGTATGGCTACCTGCTGGCTGTTGCGGAAGGGATCCGGCGATGAACGCACACCCTGAAGCAGCGTTCGATAGAACGGGTCAATAACTTTGCAACAGTACCCTTGAAGCCAGCTGTTACTGGGAACAAGTTAATTTCAAAAATAATTCAAAACTCCACTGTGTCCGCAAACAAATTTTTCCGTTCAACGCGCATATGCTTTGACCAGTCTTACGAACGAGACGTGCTGAGATTATTAATCAAACGTCGAAAAAAGGCATGACACCCAGGAGGCCTTCCGATAAACATATGTTGAACAGGTCGTGAGCTGATTGACTGACTAACACAGTTGCGAACCAGGTCATTATGGTCAATTTAAACGAGGAAGAAGAAACGCGGTCATTCGTTGACACCTTAATTGCTCATGGGTGATTTTACTATCGCCGGAATCCTTAGGCGGTGGATCAGCCGAACAAAGGATCAGTGCGACCTCGCATCTGTGCCTTTGCGTGCCTTCCTGTCTCTTCTCCCTGTAATCACAATTAACAACGTTCTCCTCACCTTCGTTGCGATGGCCGTTAAAAATCGGCGGCGGTTGGCGATGACACCCACAAGTCTACTGTCGTAGACAGAAGCAGAACCGCAACGTAACCGGATTGCTAAGCTTCTACACTTATGACATGTGTGCTAGCTGTCGCTTGTAGCACCGACCAGGTTGGTGTCGGAGTGGCGGCGTTTTCTCGATGCTACGCGTGCAAGAATTCATCAGAAATCACAGAGCTTTCGTGAAATGGATGATTGATTTTTATGCACGAGCTGTTGCAAGACTTTTTGCCCAAAATCACAGGGACTCGTCGCTCTTCGACAATAATTTTTCCGTTAACTAGTCACCAGAACAACTAATGCGCAAAAGATTTTAACATCCCTTTCCTTGCCATGGTCTTCATTGAAGAATGACATTGAAATTATTAGAAACATTCCTGCAACTTCAATTGCAAATTGATTTACATTTCGTTAAATGCATGACATTCCCGCACGCCATCAGAAGAACGTTTTTTGTGCAAATGGGGTACAAAAACTAGATTTCCTAAACTAGATATTATGACTCATCACTTATTCTCATTCTCATTGCGTCAATGAGAAATTTGCATCAGCAGTATTAAGAAGTTCTTTCTTTCCCACATCAATCAGACCATAGCTCAGCTTTGCCTCCCCCCTTTGTTTCTCACACTCTGCTCACCGCACCTTCGATCAAACAAAGCACCGTTGGAATGAAATCCAAACTGTTTACTCGAATGGCTTCCAAGCAAAACTTCTTCTTCATTTGAACATAGCGTCAGTAGAAAGTTTCCTTCAGGCCATTATGGAAGCAGGCTGCCAAGCGTTAGTTTATTGATTTCGCATTCAAGCGAGGATAAAGCGACGATTTATGTATATTCAGCATTAAGTTGTCACAAAATGACAATCGAGATGTTCGTCAGGATCTTGCAAGGCGATCATGGTGCTCCTTAAAGATCACAGTTCGTTGCCGAGCAACTGTGCATATATCAGTGCAGCTATAGACCGTGAGATACTTATGAACTGTTCGTTTGTACATGCCTCATACTCCCAGTCAATCCAGAGTTTAAAGATTATTGTAATTCAATGCTCCTACAACAGACAGGAGTGCCGTCACAGAGAACTCTACCACATATTCTGGAATACACGCGGCAAGTGGAAGAGGCAACTTTCATCAACCTGCCTTGACAGTGTAGTGAATAATGGTCCATTCTCCAAGAAGAAGTCACAAGTAAATCACTATTACGCCTATTCCAAGAAAGTTAAATTACCAAAGGCGAAGCAACAACTGGTCAGACGTGAGAGGGTGTTAGAAATACCCGGGTTATGGACCTGAGCTGCTGTGGTTGCCAACACTGCAACGTTTAACCGTAGATCACTTTTTGGCGATGCAGGACTTCAAACAACTGAACAGAACATAGCAAAACCGAGCGGGATATTTTTCGAATTCAGCAAAGTTAGATGCATGACTTAAGTTGGCACCTCCTTTTCTAAAGAGGAAATGGAATAACAGAAGAAATATGGTTCACTGTGTATAAAGATTTAACAGCAATGTTGCACAAGTAGGCAGCACTCCAGAGAGAAGACTGTTCTCAGAGATTAAAGCGGTTCGAACTGCAGGTGATTTAAGTACATGAGCCAAAATCGAGCCATTCTGACAAAATGATTGAAGCCATTTATGAAGAAGTAGAAAAATTACGTGAAAATAGAAGGTGCCACTATAAGTAATGATTTTCGACATCAACGAAATAGTCAGACTGCAGCAAGGAAAGGAATAATCTTCAGGATAATTTGGTTATAGCGAAAGGAATGACAACGAGGAACAACTATTTCAGTTTCAAAAGTAGATATGGAAAAGCCCAAATGACGTCAAGAATGTAATAATGATAATGTAATAATGATATGCTCCTTAGCAACACAATAAAAACCGAGTGCAGACGCGGGGTGCTGAACAGGATTGATGCAAGAAAAGAAAAGACCACAGACTCATCTGATTCAAAGTGCGTCTGGCTTCAGTTTTAGAAAAAACTTGATGAGCACGAGTCGGAAGATAAAATTTGGAAAGTTCATAACTTTTGGGATATCGGTCTTTCTTACAATTACATGATGAAACTAATTCTGGCATCTGACAAGCACAGCTGATGTCCATTTCAGTCGTCAGCTAGGAACGCCTCATTTCTAAAGGCAGAATCGACAGCAGCTATCTGTCGAGCATGGTCTATATACCCAAATTTCATTACCACTTATTTATTGGTGAACCTCAGAAAGAAGAAACGCAATTCAGGATCGAACACAAAGTCTGTCGATATTCAGTTCAACGTTCTACCGACCGAGTAACCACGTTTGAAGCAACATGTGACAAGTTCCACGTTCAGCGGAATTCGTGGTGACGGCAAAGAATAACGACCGCGGTAACTGAAATCATTACCTCCGGAGTTCGAATTCAACGCCTGGATGTGGAAACAATAAATAAGGACCTTCCGCGATTCGTACTCAAATCAAATAACCGATTTGGCATTCTTCATGGAATGCGTGAAGAAGAAGTAGCAGAAATGGTAAATATGAAGGTGGTGTTTCAAGATATGACAAAGGCAGTTACAGAAACGTCGAAAAGCATTTCTGGTTAAAAGTCACCGAAAGTCAACTGCATAATCACGAATGTATGACGAAACCAAGGGAAATGAGCAGAAAAACTGATCGGAAATCAAAGTGTTCAATCTTTGAAGTACGTGGAACTTGGCAAACTTTAAGAAAATGGATGAAGAAATATGACGGAGCATTCAACTGTAGATTTGCAAAGGAAACCACTGGAAACAACCAAAGTTTTAAGAAATTAGACCAAAGAATGACCTCTGAAAATAATGATTCTTGGTGCTCAAAGCAGATGACATGACTGTTATCAGGGGTAGAACAAGAGATTCTATAGAGCGAAAGATTTCTCTCAGAAACTTTAAAAAGATGAAGACAGAAACATCTGAAGGGTCGATAATAAACCTCAGGATACAAATTCCGTTACCGAAATTCCAGGTATCTTCCCACAAGTAGTGTGACATGTAGCAAAATAGTCGTAGCGAAGAAGGACTCCTGAAATGGATACCATTGCAATGGACTCGCCGAATAACTGCAAGAAATTCTGACCACTACATAAACGTGGTTTTTTTCACGCTGTCGCAGAGAACTGAAAATCCCAGACGATTGGACTATCGCGTCGGTGATTCTACTCTACAAAAGGCAGACAAAGAGGATTTGAAGAACTACAGGCCGATGAGTTTGTAGCTAGTTATATACAAGCTTTTCACGAATGTAATGACGAATGGATTTCAAGAAAAACTGGACGCTGCATAACCATAAGAGTAGGCAAGCTTCAGAAGGAGATATGGAATTAATACGATGGATCATCTCCTCATGTCTAGAATTCGTCGATTTCGATAAGACATTCGACATACTCTACGTTCGTTTTGTACGAAATGCTTTGAGGAGCAAGGGAGTTTAGAAGAGATAGAGGGACCTCATCACTATGATTCACAAAAAAACAGTTGCTAACGAAATACTAATCGAAAGTATAAGCATATTCAAAACTTGAAAAGAGCGTTTGACAAAAAAACACAATATTA